AAAATGTTTGAGGAAGTACGGGAGAGGTTTGCCAGAGGAGAGTTGGAAACTGATCAAAGGTAGGAGTGTTTTGAATTGAAGGATGCAGGTGTACAGTCCTTGGTGATAAACTTAGTAGGTGAGGGGTAGGGTAGGAGTAACAGGTTGTGTTAAAAAAGATTGAAAAGTTCTGGAATATATTTTCATTTCAGGTCTTGTTAAAGTTTACGATATGTTGGAAATTCTAAAGATAGGAATGGGTGCTCATCCTCTTCCACGATCCCCCTTCTCCTTTTTCTGGCGTGTGATTATGGAGAATTTGCTACCTTCCTATAAACAAGAATTGAATAGATATTCTAGTCTTCTCGGAGAGGGACGAATAAACCTTAGGCCCGTCTCCTGCAGGGTTAGGGGTAGGAGACGCTAATTTCCCACGCACGAGATTACTGTGTGGTGGATGTCCTCCCCTGGGTGGGATGAGTGGGGTGTTGGCCCTGAAAAGTCCCTATGGGGAGTGGTCAATTAACCTTTGTATGTATTACGAAAAACATTTACAAGCTAGTCAGAAAGAGTGATACTTAAAAGGAGAAGAGAAGATTTATGCCTATTATACATTTTTCGCTTTCTAGACCTGAATTCGAACAGGTGACAGGATCTGAAATGATGGAAACTTGTTATCTGGTGAACGAGTTATTCATTGGATCAGAGGAGAGAAGATGACGATGTCATCAAACAGAATCACTGGTATGTCAGACGGTTCATGGCGATGTTATCTACACACAATCACCGCTGTGTCAAAGGTTTCATGGCGACTGATAAATCTTAGTTCCTTCTAGTACGATTTAAACATTTTTGTAAATGATTAAGCTGGTAGCTTTGAAAATGTTGGCGTGATGTTTTATGATGATAAGTATTATTATTTTTATTACTTGGATGTACAGAGATGAGGTGTAGAATCTGCTATTTATTATACATGTACGCAAGAGTGGGCATTAAAATGCTTCATGTTTCATTTTTACACTTTTATTGAACACTTTCATAAATGGCTGCCAGATTAATATTCTTTTGTTTAAATTTAAATTAGCCCCTATCGCCTCGCTTGAGATAATGTCTTCTTTTGAATTTTGTACTGGATAACGAGGCCAGAAGGGCTAATTTAAATTTAAACAAAAGAATATTAATCCGGCAGCCATTTATGAAAGTGGTCTATGAAGCTAGGTTTACTTTACAGCTGTAATTATATCAGTGTATAACGTATAGAACAAAAGTTATAGTGTGAAAAGTTTGTATTTTTTAGAAGTAAATTGTCGAAAGAAGAGAAAGTCGTCATTATATGGTAAGAGCTGTGTAACTGGCCCGAGCACACATAATTTTTTTACTGAATATCGATTCGAACTTCAGACGCAGACTGACATTTGCCTGTTTGAAAGAAACGTATTTGTGTGCAATAGGCAAAATTGAAAATCACTTCGACTTTGCCTGAAGTTGTTTGATGCCTAACTTTCCCACGAGTTACATCCGTTACAATTGTTCCTAGATTGAAAGCTTAATACGTATAGGTAATCGCATGGGGCCGAGGAAAATTAAGGATTATTATCACTTGTGTTGTCGGAAGTTGCTGAAATTGCCCGAGTCACGCAGCGACGAGGGCAATTTCTGCAACTTCCGAAAACACAAGTGTTATTAATCCTTAATTTTACGAGGAACCATGTGATTACTTGTTTATAATATAAGGG